CCAAAAATAGGTATAAACTATTTGACAAACCATATTTCTGCCGTCAAATGAAAATTTTTGTCTCAAAAGAGACCTATTCTGAGTAAAACGGTAAAATGTCATGAAGTGTAAACGCGAATGTTTGACAGATGAACTGATCTAAAAATTTTATATTTTGTCTGCATATTAGCTCATTTACAGCCTCGCAAAGTTGTCGTCCAATCTTTTTTCCGAACAGGTTATGTATTGTAAAAAAACTCTTCATTTGATCTGCAATTTTTACACAAATACATAATAAAAGTATATAATAATAAAAACAAATAAAAGAGTTTTTTATCGAAAATTAAATATCGTCAACGATAACAACTTACCAGGTGATTTCCATTTTCTAAGTTGATTTGATTTAAATGGTAAAAGAAGGGAATTGGCATTTTCATTTACAATTAAATTATCACTATTTAAATTTGATAAATCATTTTCAATTGATTCCTCTAATCCATTGTAATTAAAATTCACATTGTTAGGATTATTTGCACTAGAAGATGATAATTGAAATAATTTACGTTGTTTACCACCAACACAATTAATACCAGAACTACCTAAACAGTCCATATAATACACAAGTACACTGAACCCCACCAGAATCCAGATAAAAGATGACAATATTATTAACCGGTAAGTACTCCATCTAAATAAACGAAGTCTTATTAACATTCTGTACAATGTTTGATGACAGGAAAGGCTTTCACTTGTTTGTAAAGTCATAACAAAAAAAAAATAATTAATTAACTGTTAATTGACCACATCAATCGATGTTATGAAAGCAAATAAATTGAAGTCTCAAACATCTGGCAGCTTCATTTTTGTTAGAGATTGCCTGTTTGGCATTTATTGAGAGTAGATACCAAAGCCAGCCAAATTGAGCCATAAGCTGCTTTTCGGCTCGCAGCTTGAACTAAGCTCAGCTAAAAGTGGCAATTTGATTGAGCTGGCTAAAATTCAGTTGGCTTGGGTGTCTAATTGAGAGGCCTCAGCAGGTGTTGTGGTGCCGCTTGTAGGTACAAAAAGGAGATTACATTTACTGAGGGTTCTTTGAATTTTGTGAGGCCATTGGATATGAATTTAGAAGTAATTTATGGCATTTTAAGGAATGTTTCATGGCATATTGAGATGTATGGATTTAGGAATCGCTGGTCTGATAGAGTCATGGTGTATATTTTATTGACAACTGTGAAGTAATGAACGAATTGGTTTAATCTCAATTTAATGTTAGACAAAGTGAAAAGTGAAGACGAAACTCCAATTTTGGATATTTGGTCAGATAATAAAATATATATAATATTAATGATTCAAATCAATTGTAATAATCAAAGTGTTAGTAATACTAAGGATAAGAAGGATAAGAATTTGGGAATTATTTGTAATATCAAGTTTAATAGTTAGATAATGGTGATGTTGAGCTAGAAAACCAAGATTTTTATTGAAGATGGCTGTGAATGACGATATTGAAGTAATACTGACAATGATCAGTAAATCAAGGTGAAAACAAATTGTCAACACAATAATCCAGATGGCAAGACACTTATCCAATTGATAATTCAATGTGATCATCAATATTGAGTTTAAGATTTTGTCAAATGAAGAGAACGATGAAATCAATTAAATTTTGGTTCCAACTTATTACTTGAAAATTGGCTGTTAGTAAAAGGCACAATTAACACATCAATTGGCACAAATGCACTTAAACGGACGAAAACGATTCTCTTTCGAATTTAGACTCTATTGGTTTGTTGGGAATTAAAAACTGAATCCATTTTTGTGTTTTAAAAATTTCTCTGATGAACAGCTATCGAGGAAATCGAGTTCAAAGTTGAAACTTCGATAGCCTTTTAAACATTAACGGAAGCAGATTTTTTCATAAAACTCATAGAACTGATGTAACTTTTGATAATCAAGCAGAAAATTTACTTACTTTGAGTAATAAAATTTTCTGGCTTCTGTTAAATAGATTAGTTCGATGTTTATTCAAACCGATCGTTTTCTGTGACCGTAAGTTTTAGCGAGCTGAAACTTATTATTTGTCCATAAAATTTGTCAGCTCACAATATGCATTGAACACTTTAAGCGATTTCGAAACGGTTTTCTTGCTTTTGGCTATTAGCCTTAAAACTTTGAGCTTAGATATGCCGATAATTTTAGCCCCTAAAATCATCATTCCTTCAGCATTTTGTCCCTTTGCTAATAAATAAACCAATGCAATTCAATAACTTTCCATTGGACCATTTGGGCATGATATTTGGGCTGCAAATGCACAAGCAACCACTTATTTAACAAACTAAACTCATAAAAACCCATTTCTTAATGAATGAAACAATTTTCTGGTTAAACTTACAAATGTAATGCAAAGACTGCTGCCAAAGACTCGAACAATTAGGTAAAGAGTTTAGACTTAGTGACGTTTGTAAAGATATTAAAACTGAGTCCACAGATACTATTTACTAGTTTTTCCGATACATAGTTTTCGAGAAAATCGATTTCGAAGTTGAAACTTTGAACCTCTTTTCTGCAACTATGGAACCAGATATTTTCATGAAACTCATTTCAACGATAGAACTTTCAAAGACCGAATAGAAAATGGTCTTATTTTGTGGAATAAAATTTTGCTTTTTCTGTAAAACAGATCAGTTCGATTTTAAGTTGAACCGACCTTTTTCTGTGAGCTTTAGTGTTAGAGACTTGAAACTTATTATCAGTACATAAAAATTGTTTCGCCACATCATGGATTGAATAATTTTTTCAATTTATGAACAGTTCTCTTGTTTTTGGCCATTTGCATCAAAACTTTGTGCCTCGATATTTCGATAATGGTAGTACCTACAGTCATCATTCTTTGTTCAAATATTAGATTTTATTATGTCATATGATGTATAGGAATATTAAATTATTCAAGATTCTACAGAAAAAGTTATAGCTTAGTTGTTAGATTTGATTTTTACCTTATAAAAGTAAATGATTATATAAACACAAATTTTACGCGTTGAAAGAACTGCATTATTAAATGAATAAACTGAGATTTTTTCAATCTTCGAGTTATATCATTTCAAAGCTCGTAATAGAATCCAAAGTTTGGTGAAGGAAGGATGACTGTAGGTACTACCATTATCGAAATATCGAAGCTCAAAGTTTTAAGACAAATGGCCAAAAACAAGAGAACTATTGACATTTTGAAAAAATTATTCAATCCATGATGTGGCGAAACAATTTTTATGTACGGATAATAAGTTTCAAGTCTCTAAAACTAAAGATCAAAGGAAAAGTTCGGTTTAACTTAAAATCGAACTGATCTGTTTTACAGAAAAAGCAAAATTTTATTCCACAAAATAAGACCATTTTCTATTCGGTCTTTGAAAGTTCTATCGTTGAAATGAGTTTCATGAAAATATCTGGTTCCATAGTTGCAGAAAAGAGGTTCAAAGTTTCAACTTCGAAATCGATTTTCTCGAAAACTATGTATCGGACAAACTAGTAAATAGTATCAGTGGACTCAGTTTTAATGTCTTTACAAACGTCATTAAGTCTAAACTCTTTACCTAATTGTTCGAGTCTTTGGCAGCAGTCTTTGCATTACATAAAAAAGTTTAACCAGAAAATTGGTTTATTCATTAAGAAATGGGTTTTTATGAGTTTAGTTTGTTAAATAAGTGGCTGCTTGTGCATTTGCAGCCCAAATATCATGCCCAAATGGTCCAATGGAAAGTTATTGAATTGCATTGGTTTATTTATTAGCAAAGGGACAAAATGCTGAAGGAATGGTGATTTTAGGGGCTAAAATTATCGGCATATCCAAGCTCAAATTCGAAGTCTAAGTTGAAACTTTGAACCTCTTTTCTGCAACTATGGAAGCAGATATTTTCATGAAACTCATTTCAACGATTTAACTTTTGATGACCAAACAGAAAATGGTATTATTTTGTGGAATAAAATTTTCCTTTTTCTGTAAAATAGATCAGTTCGATTTTAGAGCAAACTGACCTTTCTCTGTGATCTTTAGTGTTAGAGACTTGAAACTTATTATCCTTACATAAAAATTGTTTCGCCACATCATGGATTGAATAATTTTTTCAATTTATGAACAGTTCTCTTGTTTTTGGCCATTTGCATCAAAACTTTGTGCCTCGATATTTCGAGAATGACATCACCAACAATCATCATTCCTTCACCAAACTTTGGAGTCTATTACGAGCTATAATATGATATGACTCGAAGATCGAAAAAATCTGAGCTTATTCATTTAATAATGAAGTTCATTCAACACGTAAGATTTGTGTTCATATAACCATGCACTTTTATTAAGTAAGAATCAAATCTAACTAAGCTATAACTTTTTCTGTATAATCTTGAGAAATTATTTATTTCTATACAACATAGGCCATAATAAATCTAATATTTGTACGAAGAGTGATGACTGTAGGTGCTACCATTATCAAAATATCGAAGCTCAAGTTTTAAGGCCAATGGCCAAAATCAAGACAACTGTTGAAATATGGAAAAAATTATTCAATGCATGTTGTGTACAAATGGTTTTCAGCTACGGATAATAAGTTTCAGATCTCTAACACTAAAGATCACAGAAAAAGGTTGGTTTAACTTAAAATTGTTTTGATCTGTTTTACAAAGAACATGGAATATTGTATCAAAAAATTAGTGCATTTTCTTTTTGCTCATCAAAAGTTAAATCGTTGAAATGAGTTTCATCAAAATATCTGCTTCCATAGCTGCACAAAAGCGGTTCAAAGTTAAGATTTCGACATCGATTTTCTCGAAAACTATCCATCGGACGAATCAGTTAATTGTATTAATGGACTCAGTTTTAATGTCTTTACAAACTTCTCTAAGTCTAAACTCTTTACTAAATTGTTCGAGTCTTTGGCAGTAGTCTTTGCATTACATTTGTAAGTTTAACCAGAAAATTGTTTCATTCATTAAGAGATGGGTTTTTATGAGTTTAGTTTGTTAAATAAGTGGTTGCTTGTGCATTTGCAGCCCAAATATCATGCCCAAATGGGCCAATGGAAAGTTATTGAATTGCATTGATTTATTTATTAGCAAAGGGACAAAGTGCTCAAGGAATGATGACTGTAGGTGCTACCATTATCGAAATATCGAAGTTCAAAGTTTTAAGACAAATGGCCAAAATCAAGAGAACTATTGATTCTTTGAAAAAATTATTCAATCCATGATGTGGCGAAACAATTTTTATGTACTAATAATAAGTTTCAAGTCTCTAACACTAAAGATCACAGAGAAAGGTCAGTTTGCTTTAAAATCGAACTGATCTATTTTACAGAAAAAGGAAAATTTTATTCCACAAAATAAGACCATTTTCTATTCGGTCTTTGAAAGTTGTATCGTTGAAATGAGTTTCATGAAAATATCTGGTTCCATAGTTGCAGAAAAGAGGTTCAAAGTTCCAGCTTCGAAATCGATTTTCTCGAAAACTATGTATCGGATGAATTAGTAAATAGTACCAATGGACATAGTTTGCTGTCCCTACAAACTTAACTAGGTCTAAACTCTTTACTCAATTGTTCGAGTCTTTGGCAGCAGTCTTTGCATTACATAAAAAAGTTTAACCAGAAAATTGGTTTATTCATTAAGAAATGGGTTTTTATGAGTTTAGTTTGTTTAATAAGTGGTTGCTTGTGCATTTAAAACCCAAAAATCATGACCCAAATGCGCTTATGCAAAGTTATTGAATTGAATTGTGTTATTAATTAGCAAAGAATTAAATTGGTGAAATAATGTTGACTGTAGGTTAAGCCGTTCGCGAAAAATCTAGCTCTAAGTCTTAAGGCCAATGGCCAAAATCAAGAGAATTGTTAATCAATTCAAGCAAGTTCTCAATGTATGATGTGTAAAAACAATTTTGATGGACTGATAATAAGTTGATAATAAGCTCTGCAGTTCTTATGGTCAAGTTTATGTCGTTTTTCAAATATTGCTTTAACTTCAAATATTTTTTCAATTTACCGCCAGTTAATTTAATTGGCCATTTGGTTTGGCTCAGCTGCCAAGCCGTTGATCAGCTGAAAGAGTAGAGAGACAGCTCACGGATTTTTGTGTAGCCTTCACCTGTGCTGTCCGTTAGATAATGTTAGATTAGAGTAGAAAGAGTGTGATGGATGTTATTTTGGGAAAGACTGGAGAGGAAAGGTGAGTGTGCTGAATGGTCAAAGGCACCAAATCTGGGAATATTCCGAAAGAAGAATTCTCAAAAATGAGAAATTTTAATTAAATGAATTTAATCTTCTGACCAGTGATAGAATTGCTTCAAACCGATCTTTGCCTGATGTTAGAAAGGATTCGTAAGTAGATTAATTAATTATATATTAATTGTATTGTTTGATCAAAAATAAATATTTTTATCTATTCTTTTATCATAATTTAGATGCAAGAATGAACATTATCCAAGTGAATTACCTACAACCAGCATTGTCATTGTTTTCAATCTCTAGCATAAATGAAGCTGCCAGATGTTTGAGACTTCAATTTATTTGCTTTCATAACATCGATTGATGTGGTCAATTAGCAGTTAATTAATTATTTTTTTGTTATGACTTTACAAACAAGTGAAAGCCTTTCCTGTCATCAAACATTGTACAGAATGTTAATAAGACTTCGTTTATTTAGATGGAGTACTTACCGGTTAATAATATTGTCATCTTTTATCTGGATTCTGGTGGGGTTCAGTGTACTTGTGTATTATATGGACTGTTTAGGTAGTTCTGGTATTAATTGTGTTGGTGGTAAACAACGTAAATTATTTCAATTATCATCTTCTAGTGCAAATAATCCTAACAATGTGAATTTTAATTACAATGGATTAGAGGAATCAATTGAAAATGATTTATCAAATTTAAATAGTGATAATTTAATTGTAAATGAAAATGCCAATTCCCTTCTTTTACCATTTAAATCAAATCAACTTAGAAAATGGAAATCACCAGGTAAGTTGTTATCGTTGACGATATTTAATTTTCGATAAAAAACTCTTTTATTTGTTTGTATTACTATATACTTTTATTATGTATTTGCAGATCAAATGAAGAGTTTTTTTACAATATAATAATCGTGTTTACGCGCAATCAATCACAGTGCTAATAAGTGATTGTTCTTCCTCTTTATATTCCCATAACATATTAAAAAAACCCTCACTGATAAGCACTGTGTTTTATTGCGCGTAAAAAGAGTATTTTTTTTAATTAAATCATTTTATTATAGTCTTGGCTACAAATCCAAGTTCATGGCCTGGTGAAAAGGGTAAACCCGTGAATATTCCGAAAGAAGAAGAATCTCTTAAAAATGAGAAATTTAAATTGAATCAATTTAATCTGTTGGCCAGTGATAGAATTGCGTTAAACAGATCTTTGCCTGATGTTAGAATGGATTCGTAAGTAGACAAATTAATTGCATTGTTTGCGGATAAATGAATATTTTTATCTTTTCTTTGATCATAATTTAGATGCAAGAAGAAACGTTATCCAAGTGAATTACCTACAACCAGCATTGTCATTGTTTTTCATAATGAAGCTTGGTCAACTTTATTACGAACTGTTCATAGTATTATCCGAACCTCACCAAGGACTCTTCTTGAGGAGATTATTCTTGTTGATGATGCTAGTGATGGAGGTGAGCTTATGATTAATCTCTCTTTTCTTCTTATTGAAATAGCTTTAACTTTATTATTTCATTCATTTCCTGTTTATCATCTCAAACTTGATTTCAACTTTTCTAGTTGATTAAATTAACCCTTGTTAATAATGTAGTGATAATGTAATGCATATAATCATTTCTCAACATCTCAACTTTGAGATTGATAGCACCAAGCTGAGCCAATTTTATGCTCTACACTCTCCATTTAATTTTGGTCTCAACTCCTAAGCATTATATTAGTACGATATATAAAACATTTTCTGTTTTCTTTTACGTTTATCAGAACATTTAGGTAAAAAATTAGAAGATTATGTGGTTACTTTGCCGGTCCCTGTTCATGTATTACGAACGGGGAACAGATCGGGATTGATTCGAGCTCGTCTTTTAGGAGCATCACATGTTAAAGGTCAAGTAATTACCTTTCTAGATGCTCATTGTGAATGCTCAAAAGGATGGTTGGAACCTTTATTAGCAAGAATAAGAGAAGATAGGTAAAGATAATATCATTTGTTTTATTTAATTATAATAATCATAGATACATATTAAACTAATTATTTTTGTCTTTTTGTGTAAACTAAATATTTTTACAGAACTCGTGTTGTTTGTCCAATTATTGATGTGATAAGTGATGATAATTTTGAATATATCCCAGCATCTGATATGACATGGGGAGGATTCAATTGGAGACTTAATTTTAGATGGTATCGAGTTCCTCAACGAGAAATTGATCGTCGTAATGGTGATAGAAGTGAACCCGTTAGGTCAGTATTGACTAATGTTGATAAATTTTTATCCTTTATTCATTAGTATTGTGGTCACGATTAATGTTATTGGTTAATTAAATTAAAAGTAAAATAATTATTTGTACTTTACAGAACACCTACTATGGCTGGAGGATTATTCTCTATTGATCGTGATTACTTTGAATATCTTGGTAAATACGATGAAGGAATGGAAATCTGGGGAGGAGAAAATCTTGAATTAAGTTTCAGGGTGAGATATTAATTTAAGCTAAACTATCTAACAACAAATAAATAACGTGTTTTTTAATGTTTCTTTCTCTTTTCATGATGGATAATTTCAATTATGCTTTGTGATAATTGAATAATCTCTATGCATTTGCTATTGTTGTTGGAATATTTACGCCAAAATTTTGAATACCTGACCTGAATGAAACGAACTGACATGCTTTTAATCACTTCAACACATCAACTAACTATCATCATTGACTTATGCTTATTCAGATCTGGATGTGTGGAGGAACACTTGAGATAGCAACTTGTTCTCATGTTGGTCATGTTTTTCGTAAATCTACGCCTTACACTTTCCCTGGCGGTACAACAAAGATAGTTAATCATAACAACGCTCGTTTAGCTGATGTTTGGCTTGATGAATGGAAAGACTTTTATTATGCCATTAATCCAGCAGCTAAGAAGGTTAATAAAGGTGATACAAAAGGACGAAAAGAGTTACGAGAAAAATTGAAGTGCAAAAGTTTCCGTTGGTATCTTGAAAATGTTTACCCTGAATCTCAAATGCCATTGGATTACTATTCATTGGGTGAGATTCGTAATGTTGCCATAAATCATTGTCTTGATACATTTGGACGTAAAAGTGGTGAAAATGCTGCAATGAGCCAGTGCCATGGAATGGGTGGTAATCAGGTGTTTGCTTATACAAAACGTAAACAAATCATGTCAGACGATAATTGTTTAGATGCTTCCAGTAAAAAAGAGCCTATCAAAATGATCCGCTGTCATGGATTAGGAGGTAATCAAATGTGGGAATATCATCCGAAAGAGCAAACAATTGTTCATGTAAACACTGGACTATGTTTGGATAAAGCTGACCCATCTAAGGATTCAACATTGCCCCAATTGAAAGAATGTGATGGCAGAAAATCACAGCGATGGATAATGAGCTCCAATTTTGAATGGCAAGCAACGGATCATAACAATGCTAACAATGAAACAAATGATAAACACGAGGCCAGTGCCAATGAATCTGCGTGAAAGAAATGACTCTTCAACCTGAAATTCAACTATGCTCACTTTTTAATCACACTGTTTTCCTCCGAATTGAATTTGCTCTCAAGTAGACAATTAAGAAACTTGCTCATCCTAATTTTTGTGTAATATTCATGGAATGTTTTTTTCTTGCTAAAGGTGATTTTAAGTGTCATTTTCGCTAATTACAGAAACTGTAAGTGGTGATTGCTGCAAAAATCATTGTGATGGTGAGAATATCGCAAATCAATTCGACATTCCATATGGATTCTCATGGATTCATTATTACAACTCTGTTGTCCATGGTGCATAAGAAGACCGTTTAAAGTGTAATTCATCTCGATATAAATCAGTTGTGCCTTTTTGATAAATTATACATAACCCATAAAACCGATATCTACAAACTTTACTAATTATTCGCAAAATTCTGGTTCTCCATTGAAATATTCACACCAAATCAACTTACACCTAAAACTTAACTCAACCTTTATATTTTGCTAATTCAAATTTTTGCCAACTAAATTGTTTAATTCGAGTTTTGATTTTTACATAAACTAATCGCAATATTTTTACCTTCTCTTATTTCTTTAACAATATCTATTTGAGTTGCAATATTGTAAATTTTTCCTCCTTAATCGCAAATTAATGACATCAAATCAAACTACATTTTTCTACAGCCAATTTAGCAATATGCAAAAATTTGAATATGTAAAATCTGATTGATGTAAATTATCAAGCAAATAGTAAAGGAAAAAATAAATGGATTATATCAGGCTTGTTGATATAACTTAATTTAAGCACAATCAAAGTCAATTTGTAACCAATCTTGGTTTGTTTAATTTCAATTTTAAATTGTCAATTATTATTTGATTTTGCTGTTCATTTGTACATCTCTGTTTCTTTTTGTTTGTGATTATTGGGAAACCTTATATTGAACATGAATTGTACATATTTGATTTATTTTTTAACCAACGTGAATTAAACACGTACACGTTTACATTAAATATCAATTATACAATGACCATCTGATCTGAAACGTTATTATCTTCTTGACAGTCAATAAAACCTGATTTAGTAATTTTAACTCGACAACTTTGATTGGCATGAGTTACTCTCTCACTTTGTACACAAGAAATGTCTCTTACTTCATGATCAGTTTTATCGAGACTCAGTACGAGGCCACAATTATTATTCCAAAGGCATTTGGCGAATTCTATGACTATATTGGTGGTAATGAAGGCAATATCAGGCCTAAGCATAACGATTGTTCGGAGAGCACGATTGTATGCACTTATAATTGTTAGTAAAGATTGCCTTTTAGCACGATCCCAGTCTTTTTGGTAATCCAAGACATCAACAAATGGATTTGTATATGAATCAAGGATAATCATTTTGACATCATTGTAGGGTCCTTCTGGTGTTTTAAGCTCTTCAGTCAATCTATCTAACAGAGATAATAATTTATAAAGTCCAAAAATTTGAGTAACAATGACTTTTTGCAACACCGATTCTTTATCAAGCTCCGGTAAAGTTTCATCATACATTTGAGCTAATCTTTCAGCTGAGAAGGAACCATCCGTGTCAATGTAAATTACTTCTTTTCCTTGAATAGCCATCTGTAAAGCCATGTGATGTACAAATTGAGTTTTACCAGAACAAGATTGGCCCATTATTGAAGTTATTTCACCACTGAAAATACCACCATCAATCATCTCATCCAATCTCGGACAACCAGTTGTGTAAACATACCGCTTTTCGGACGTCTCTTTGAATAGAGAAGATAAATTGACCAGTGGAGTGGAATAGTACTCATAGAGCTTAGTTTGATTGGTTTTAATTTTCTAAAAGAATAGAATAAAAAGCAAAAATAATAATAGGAAAAAAAGCGATGAGGTAACAACTAACCTTGATATCAATTGAAGTTGTTTTTGATATGGCTGATGCTTCTTTAACCAGAAACGTTTGAATAGTAGAAATGCCAGAAACAATCAATGTATCCAACTCACTTTGATTGAAATCAATAATTCGATTAAAACGAAGGAGACTCATCTTCGATCAAAATCAAAACGGTTAAACACAGTAAATATTTACACTAAAAGCGCCACATTTTATTTTAAAATATTTAAAATCACTTTTCTCGGTTACATTTTGGCGCCTCTTTGCTCAAACATGTGATTGTGGCTTCACATATGTTTTTGCTTTATTTTTACAAATAGTTCAACTGACTTAAAACACAAGTTTATAATTTTAAAACACTGTAACTTTTGTGTCATGTTAAAATCTTTGCCTAAGGGGCCTTATGTCTGTGTTAATTGTGGTCATCAATCCAATTACAGTTTGGTCAAAGTATATGGTCCGGATAGTAAGAAATATGATCATGGTGGTAACCTTATAACTGATGGCATCAAAAATGGTGACGATTATGTTGACTTTAAGCCGCAGAAATCAATTAATCCATTAAATTTAAAGCTGAATGACTGTTCAGAATGTGGAAAACCAGTCGACTATTATCTACAAATGGACAGTTGTTTCCTGATTCTTGACGCAATGCTGATGAAGACTTCATTTTTTCGTCACATCATTCATAACTGTCAATTGTCTAAATCTTTACCCATAAAATTATTCATTGTTTACAGTTTCTGTGAGACTTATAAAGAATGGTCATCACAATGCACAACTCAAATTGCTTATGCTGAACTGGAATCCATGTTTTATACTCTATTTTTAAAGAATATTTTTTTCAATTTGATCTTTTTCTTATCTATTTTTATCATCTTCTCGTTGCGATCAGGAAACTTTTATCAACGGCGTCTCTTGTCATCCCTTGTTATCAGCTCATTTTGTAAATTGTACAAACTACCCGTTACCCTTTGGCCATCCGAGTCTCAGGAAATTGTTGATCTGTTATTGGAAATTAATTTATTTGCTGGATTGGTTCAATGCTGTTCAGTTGCGTTTCATCAACAAATTGGTAAAATTTCTTGTAGCTTAAATCTTTTGCTTGGATATTTGATTGTATGGACATCTAAAAAGCTCATAGATATCTGATTATCCTAGTTGACCAGATGACTTCCTCAAAAGTTTATCAAAATCTCAAATTGTAAACTTGGTTATTAGAATGAGTTCCGTCAATATTTCGACTTATACCAACTTCAAGATCCAAAATTGGTCTATTTTTGGACATTTAACGAATTCTTATAAAACTTGACGAAGCGAAACGCACAAGACTTCAATTATTTCACCTATGTTTCGACCAATTGTCAGCGACCAACAACCGGTGTAAACATCTCAAGTGCTCCATTCCATGCAAATAATCAAACGTTCTGGATATTTCCAAATCTAAAATCATTTTAAAATGAAATGCCAAAAATATGCAATCAAACCCATGGGCTTGATCAGTCCATAAGAGTGATATGATTCACTGCCCAATGCTTACTCAATAATTTATTAATAATACGCTCTGTAACATGGTACTCCATCATCCATGAATATGAACATTTTAATGGAAAGTTTTTATACTAATTAGAGTTGATAATTAACCTTGAATATTATTCTAGGATCTCCTAGAAAAGCAATTAATTTACAAGTCTATTGACCTTAACTTAAATATTTCTCCACCGAATATTGCACTCCAAAAAGATAAATCTTACTTTATCGTGCCTTTTCAATTAAAAAGCTTACAAGGGAATAATACCCTTCAATTGTATGATTTTTTCAAGTTTTTTGGGCTTATTTAGTAGAGGACGGAAAATAATGAAACGTATTTGCTTTTGTTTCGCTAGTGCATGTTTATTTAGGTATTATATTTTTAATTAAAGATATTATAAGTTAGTATTACAGTCACTGAAAAGTACATGAAACAGTTTTAGAAGAAAAACGAAAATATTACTGAAAATAGTGAACACAATAAATTAAAATATCTTTGCTTGAAAACAATATCATCAGAAGCTGAGAATTTCAGTTTCCAGTTTCTTTTTGGCATTTTGATCTTTCTTCTATTTTCTAATAATTTAAAAGATTCCATAAGTTTACAATTTTTGGCATAAAATATGAAGTACTTGGCAAAAATAAAACTGAATCAACTTAATAGCTGCAAGACGTGGTATTTTTGATTGATTGATTTGTATTCAACATAATCTGGTCTGGTATCTACATTTATATTGAAATGTTCATTTCATGAGCTTCTTTATTTGTATTCATTTAAGACTGAATCCTTTATGATAATCTATTTACTATAAGGCCATTTAAAGGAGACATGTTTAAGTGACTTTATCCTTTTCAGTGCCATTACATTAATTCAATGTGATTTCGTCTGATTCAACTTAGTTTTATGAATTATGTATCATGAGCTTGATCCAGACGCACAGATTTTTCATTGCCATTCAAAGCATAAATCGTTAACTTCGAGACGAACTTGTTCAAATTTTATCTTAATTATCATAAGCAATACACGTTGAAATAACCTTCGGTAGTCGATCAAGTTAAACTTGCAACCTGGAGTCTCATCAATAGAGATGAATTTTGGCAAATGGATGTCAATAAAGTGTACACGTTTAATCTACCAAACCGTTAATAGAAGCTCATTTTCTGCTTTTTTCAATGTTGGTATTTCCAAATCATCTGACATCATTGACAAACGAGAGTGATTTCAATTGAACTGTCAATTAACTGATTAAAATCTCAATTGCGTTTTAATAACCAAAAATGCATGTGGATATCTTTCACCTGAATGTATCTATTGTAACAAAGTTTAACCGTACCAAGGGTTAAGAAAAAGATGGTACCGATTTCAAGATGAAATAGCATCTCAGATTTTGATTATTTTTCAGTGGATTTTTAATAAAAGAAAATTCAGTTTCAAATCTTTCATTTGGTACTATGATCGTAGTTCTGGGACACACAGATAGCGCGCAGATCGATTTCCAAAAAATGTCAATACGTAACAGTTTTCAAAACCTATGAGAAAATTAACATTTAAAAATCAAATTTAGTCGATCTCCCATAGAAACGTCCACAAACCACGATCATAGTACCAAATGAAAGATATTAAACTGAATTTTCTCTTTGTCCAAAAAATCTGGAAAAAATCTAAAAAAAGAAGAATCTGACAATTTATTCCATCTTGAAATCAGTACCATTATTTCCTAAGCCTTGGTATAGACATAAAAACAAGTAATTCTTAATTAATTGCCATTTATTTTAATTTTTCAATTTGCTTCATTGCCATTTGTAATGTGCAAACATTTGAATTGACTTTTGTGACTCACAAAATTAATCAATTGATCTATGATTGGAGTTGAAACATTTGCGTACTTATCGAATATAAGAGATTAATTAAATGCATACAAATAACTTATATTTTAATTTTATTAAAATGCTCAAGTTTGTCCATCTTGAGATTTATGAATATCATTGATTTGATACTCTTTCATTGTTCTTTTTTTCAGTCTGAATTATTTGTACTGATCCTATTCGTAAAAGAGTTTCAAATTAAAAGAGTTAAATTATTATATAATCAATTCAATTGAAATAACAAGTTGATTAGAGATGATCTTGACAGAAAGGCATCTGAATTTGAAGACTCAAAAAACAATTTACAATGGTAAATCAATGGAATGAAATGACGTTAAACGAAAATGTGTTTTTCAAATCAAGTGGGAACAAAATCATATATATAGTCGACAATTTACTCGAAATTAATCAATAAGTTAAAACTTTCTCAAGCAATTTACTTCTAGTTGTCTTGAGTTTAATACATCAAACGAAAAAAATGAAATCATTCGGTGTATCAGCTTTTTGCTTATTGCTTGTTGCATCAGCCGTGATCTGTGATGAACAACCTGAACTTTCTTTGAACGGTAAAGTTCATGGTCGATTCTTCTTCAACCCATTCAAAATGGCCTCACAAGCCGCCAAAGCTATTGGTAACGTTGGTGCTCAAGTATCTGGTGGTTTAGGTTTAGCAGCCAACTCTGTTGCTAATGCTGCCTCAAGTGGAATCAAAACTATTGGTTCACTTGAATCATCAGCCATCAAGGGTGCCGGTAAAATCGCCTCAACTGGAGCTTCAATGGGTGCCAACGGTGTTTCAAGCTTTGGTAATGCAGTAGGTTCTGGTATCAAAGGAGCTGGTAAAATTGCTTCAACTGGTTCCCAAATCGGTTCATCTCTTGCTCAAAGTGGAGGTAGAATCGGAGCCAATGTAGCTGGTAGCATGGGTAACCTTGCTGCTACCGGAGCTAACATGTTCGGAGGCGCTGCCAATGCCGGTGGTCAAATCGCTAGCTCAATCCTCAATGGACTTGGTTTAGGTGCTTTCAGTGGTCTTGCTACTTCTGGTGCAAAGTTGGTTTCTGGTTTCGCTTCAGGAGCTGGTTCTTTGGCTAACAATACTTTCAATGGATTCGGTAATCTTGCTAATGAAGGAGGAAAAGCTGCTGGTACTGTTATCAACGGTACTGGAAACTTTTTCGCATCAGGATTGGAAGATGTTGCTGGTGCTGCTCAGACTGGATTTGGCTTGGGAGCCACCGTAATCAATGGATCTGGAACTGTTGCTCAAGCTATTGGAGATGGTTTGGCCAATGTTGCTGGCTTCAAGGCTGACATTATTGCCAACTCAACCAAACTTGTCGGTAACTTGACCGATAATGGATTCAACACCGCCGGTGATATTTTCAACAGTAGTGCTGAGGCCGCTGCCACTGTCCTTTCAATCTTCGGTTAGACCTAAAATAATGTCTACAGCAATAAACAACACACGTTAATTGTTGAATCATGTAAAATAGTGTTTACAGTGAATTCAAATAAACAATCTTTCATCTAAACACGATTCCTTTCATTTATTAATGCAACTTACTAATCGTTGACTTTATAAAAATACAAGCTACTAATTTATTCGCTGACTTAATTTCAAAGAGTAATTAGTCTTTCCTTCCATGCTTAATTAATGTGATAAAATTTAATCTAAGAATCTGATAAACCTAAATGTTTACTAATAATAACCAATAATCACTGGTTCCCTCAGGTTCAATCTATTAAAAGGACATTGAGCCAAAAAGGTTAGACTTGTACGTGTATTAAGTCAAATTGTTTGGACTTGAATTTAATCATGAAAATTATTGACTAGACAGATAAAAAATTTCCCATTCAAGTGACTTAAACTGACAAATAAATGAAGTAATAACATAATATCAATATACAGTATTTTTAGTTTGGAAAAGTCATAATCTTCGCACAGATTTAAGTTCTAATTCAACCTTTTTAACTCCTCCGATTTCAAAAGAAAAAGTCCTTTTTGCCATTGAAAAAGTCGGTTTCTAAAATCGGACGGAACTTGCACTGTTTTACACGAGACAAAGTTTAAGTTCACAAACTGCTCATCGGGTATCTTAAGGAATTGAAGCTAAAGACTTTTCCATTTCAATTGTTAACCTCTACGCTTTTTCTCATATTTTCTGAGTAAGTTGTTTCAGATTAGTGATTTTGATCTTACTTAATAAAATCAGTTTCACTCAGATTTGCATTCACAGCTGATTAAAATTAAATTAAAATTTCATGAACAAAAGTTGAATTAAATTTGCAAATCAAATTTCGTATTGAATCCTCCTCAAAAGAGTGCTAATACAATGTAACTAGCTGGTAATGAGTACATTATAATCAATTCAAATTATTTTACTCGATGGGCTGAGAGCAACCCCAGAGACCTCGAGTGTAATCGTTGAAATATTATCTAATAATATTATTTGTAGATTTGGGGCACCAAGTAAGATCTTGATCGAACAAGAGAAAGCCTTTGAGATCAATTTGATTGAAGAAGTTTACAAACTTTGATTACAAACACACACGCCACCAATCATCATCACAAAATCAAAACCAATTATAAAATGCTTGAAAATCTATCTGCTTGAGTTCTGACTTTCATGGCAAAAATCTTGTGTCTTAGCACTAAGAACTGCTATAAATAGTTGAAACGATAGGTTTCTAAGGATTGCGGTTGTACTCTAAATAAGCATCTTAAAAATAAGCTACTCAAAAGGTAGCAACACTAGTTATGGCAAATATGAAAATAGCCAATGGCACAAGTTAAGCTGGTTAGATCTAAACAATAAAAATGAAATGCACATTTTAATCCACTCGAAATATGAACAATAACCAAATTACTAGTCAATAATAGTTTTGCCATCTATCAATATGGACCAAAACTCGTATCGTAAATATAGTTTCATTAAATCAAATAAAGGGGCGAATTTATTATCATCATTCGTACCTATTTCGGAAAAAATACTCGTGGTGATACGAGCTACTGGTATTGCTTGGAAAATTCATGTTCTTCTCGTGGCACTTCTCGTGGCAAATTGGATGGTGCATCCTACCGACTGGATATCAACTTCTCTCCATACGATATTGAAATACGTTTGAGGCATAAAAGCATATAAAATTATCACAACCCATCGTTTGACTGAACACGCGTGTACCACCAGAAAAACTTTTTGTGCACAATTTTTAGGCATTGAGGCCGGTGAAACCTTTCCAGGAAATTTGACAGTTTTCACTGATGAAGCCCATTTTTGGGGTGATGGCTACGTTAACCGGCAGAATTGCCGCTTTTGGGGAACGGAAAATCCTCATATTTCAATTGAGCGATCATTGCATCCATGGCGAGTAACTGTTTGGGTTAACGCTTTTACCGA